GACTTCCTGTTACAACAGATGAGGACCAGCTGTTTTTGCTTTTCCTTGTTTTCAAGGGTGAGGATGCTGAATTCGGACAGCAGTGAGCTCACAAGTGCAGCAGGCCTGAGCACCTTGCTGGATGCCACTGGATATCACCTGACAGGTGCAAGAGGCCGGGCGCTACACAGCACAGCACCTGTCATCAAGGCCGAGCAGAATGGAGAGGCTCCTCTCCCACACTGCCTGGCAAGATTCTGGTAATCTGTTTTCCATTTTAGTACTTTCTCGATAAGCATTAAAACTCAACACACTGGACTAGTCTTAAAGGGAGATTGATCTTGAAACTAATGTGAATGACCTAGTTAAACAAAGACTGCGGCTAAAAGAATTTTTCCAAGTAATCTCTTCCTCCTCCTCCTTTCCCTTGCCCCATTTTCTCCTGCTCCTTCTCCATTCCTCACCCTCCCTCTCCCCTCTCCTTTTTGGTTGCTGGGGAATTGAACACAGGCCCTTGCTCTGCCACTGAAATACATACCCAGTCCCAAGTTAGTTAAACATCACTCTGTCTCTCCTTTCTTTCAGGTATGTTCTGCTGTTCTTATTTGTTCATTCATCTGTTTTGTTCTAAGGCCTCACTATGTTGCCCAGGCTGGTCTCTAGGCCCTGGGCTCAAGCCATCTTCTTGCCACAGCCCTTAAAGCGGCTGGGATTACAGATATACCCACTGCTTCTGACTCCCAAGGAATTTCTTCATCAGCAATAAAGAAAGAAGATCCTAGATGTAAGAACATAATTATTATAATATGGATGAGCAAACACCTCTGAAAATGCATGTGAGAGGCCCTGGAGTTATACAGGCTCAGAATCTGGCCTTGGCCTTACAGAGCCTCAAATTCTAATGCTAGGTCAAAAAAAGGAAGAAGTATAAGTTGTGAATATTCTGCATGGGCTCCCACCTCAATATATCTCAAAGTGCTTACAGGTAACATTAACTAAAGTGCAGTATCTATACATTTGAAATGGATCGGCAATCAATCATAGATGAAATCATGTTATGAAGAGACAAAATGAGAGCACTGGACATAAAAGTGAAAACAGATTCATACAAGGGAAGGAACTTTCCATCTAACTTGATTTTGGCTCTGTTTTTCTGTTTTTCAGGAATATTTGAGGCGACAGACGAAAAGAATTAAATGTTTTTCACTTAGAACCTTTGAAAGTGGTGAATGTTCTATTTAGCATTCAAGAATTTCTCAAGCTGACTTCCACAGCCAGAAAGCTCTTAAATTTAATGGCTGATGGGCTGGGGATTTAACTCTGTGGCACTGCGTCTGCCTTGCAAGCGCAAGGTCCTGAGTTCAATCCCCGGTACCAGAAAAAAGAATCTTTGGCAGAATTACGTAGTTTTATGAACTTTCTGACCATTTCCTGTTTCATTGCTGCTGCCTTTGGGGCCTTTCATTTTCATTGCATTTCAACTATTTTGTAAGAAAGGAAAAGAAAAATCAAACTAGCTATTTTGATTACATGTTACTAGTTTGGACAAATTATACTGTTTTGTGTTGAATTGGTTCCAGTTGCCAAATATTTGTGTACACTTGCTGATACAGGCGCCATCTAGAGGAGATGGAATAATTCCTAACCCTGTACCGTTATTTCCTTCATGAGTCTGTCTCCTGCGATGGAACCAGGGCATTGCCTGGGACCAGCTCTAGTGAACCTCTCCCTTACCCATCTTCCCCGCACTCCCGAATGGCAGAAAGAGCGAGCGCGTGTGGGGAAAACTGAATAATCTTGGACTGTGACCTAAAATTTTGGAATTTCAGTTTACTCATCTGAAAATGAGGCTAACAATACACATTTATAAGTTCCTGGGACAGATTATGTGAAATAGCAGAGGCACCAGAGCCAGAAGCACAATGCAATGGATAAAATTCCAGGATTTGGAGTTGGAGTTGAACCAGTGGGGCCCACATGCCAATTTTGCCCCTCTGCACCTGTGCTTCTCAGTAGGTTACTTATCTTCTCCAAGGCCCCATTTTCCTATCTGCAAAACAGAAAACATAATACATCTAATTCTTATTCACTCATTCTTTTTTTTTTTTGGTGCCAGGGATCGAACCCAGGGTTGCATGCATGCTGACTCAGTGGTCTACTGCTCACTGAGTCACAACCACAGCCCTGATGTTATTTTTAAAGACTGTGGCACAGCTTTATTTAAACGATTGTCATTAGGCCAAATCAGACTGAAAGCCACAAACTGGGTAAGTCCACTTGTAGGTTTCTCAGATTAACAACACGATATACCTAATAAGGGTAGAGATACGCTTATAACTGATATTTATTTATGAGAGAAGAAAATCAGTTTATATATACACACACACACACACACACACACACACACACTGTATGGAGAGCACAAAAAATCTTAAATTCTCTTACTATGACACAAAAAAATTCTATTCTTTGCTTTCTATGCATGAAGCAATACAGAAGACCAAGTAGTGAGTCCAAAGAAGTTAACACATGGAACTTCCACGAGAAGATCTCAGTGAGGAGAAAGATAAGGCACTCGTGTACACTAGAAATGCTAGCAGTAGGAATGCAAGCCCAAGTCTCTGAGGATCCTGCGGTTTGTGTGAAGAAGTAGGTAGGAACTTGTGTGGCTTCCAGCTTTCTAGCTACAGGTTGCCACGGCCCACAGGAAGCCAGAGTAAGGGCACCAGGACCGATACCAATTAACAACCTGGACGTGTGCCAGCGTGCCTCACTTTCCAGCCATTGTGGGCATCAAGCTGTTGATTTGGTCAGGGTTCAGACAGACATCAAACAAGCTCCAGCAGAGCCCACACCTGAAGGAGTTGGTGTGAATACAAGATAAGAAAAAACGTAACAGGGAGAGAAAGGTTATTTGTTAAAGTCGATTTCGACACAGCTTCACGAGTCACATGCAGAGTTCTCAGCTCAGGGATCATGGTGATACGAGGCCACATCTTTACGCCTCAGCCTGCCACATGTGGGCCTCTCCACCTGGTGACTCAAACACTCCACTTTGCTGCTCCTCACCTCCCCCTCCTAGGGAATGCACACACCTCCTCCCGGAAGTGCTGAAATGGGAAACGTGCAAGCGTCCAGAGGATTCCCCTTCCTACCTGACTTCTGCAGGAGACGACTTCCCAGGCTGGCCTCACCTTCTCTAATTTCCATTCTCCAGAACGCTGCCACAAGGAGAATCCCCTAGAAGATAAAATCTGAGTTCCTTTTAGCACAGTATCCAAGGGCATCATTATCTGGCCCCAGCCTACTAGTCTCACCTGAACTTCCAATACTCTTCCCTTGAACTTCGTGTTCTGGAAACATCTAATTACCTAAGAGATTCTTCAACCTCCCCTGCTTAAGGGCCCCTCACCATGTGGCAACCAAGAATCACTGACTCCTGCCCGGCCAAGCTCAGTTGTATTTCTGTACTGACTCTTTCCAGATGCCTTTCCATGGGTAATGATGCTATCCTGTATCATGATGGCTTTGCACCCATAAACTGTAAGTACCTCGAAGTCAGGGACAGAACCCTTAAACATCGTCTCTCTTCAGCCTGCCACACAGGAGCCCACCCAAACAAAATTACACTGAATAATGACTGTTGTGGTTTGTGTCTAGATGTCCTCCCAAATCCTCATGCAGTCTTTGGTAGGGCTTTTCAGAGTGGCTGGATCTAGAGTGTGTGATGCTGGATCAAGGGTGTGCGATTACTAAATCAGTACGCAGATTAGTCTGGCACCACCCTAATCCTGGTAGCCTAGATAGAGTAGAAAAGGGCCAGAAAGAAGTGGCTAAGAAGGGCCCTTCCTTGTTTTGCTACCTTCTTCCGGCCATGAACTGTTTCTCCTCTGTGATGCCTGTCTGCCATGCCACCCTGCCTTGGAGTCAGCTGATTATGGACTAAAACCTCTACAAACTGTGAGCTAAATAAACCTTTCCTTTTTTAACTCTGTGTGTTGGGTATTTTGTCTCAGCAATGAGAAAAGTAACTAAGCCAATGACTAAACTTTAAATCTAGGATACGGTATCATTTGGTTAAAACCAACAAGCTTGAAGAACTCCACTGCAAATATTCATTGTTTACAGCTGGGTTTGGGGAACTCGGATGGAATATGCTCCCTCAGTTTATCCTTTCCCTGAATCTGCAAAAATATTCAATCTCATGGGTTTTACAATAAGATAAAGAAACAAAGTGTATTTGTGTAAGTGAATTTACTCAGTTTTGAACTCTGGTCAGCCGATATTCAAAAAAATTTTTCTATAATATTTCCAATTTTCCCTCTCAGCTATCAAACAACAAATGAACAAAAAACACCATCAAAGCAAAAGCAGCAAGGCGGCAGAGACTTGGCACTAACTTATTTCTGAGAACTTTGAACATTTACTTTCAAAGCCCACGTATGAGGTGGGGGGTGTCTTGAAATTGTCAAAAGGGGTGGTTTCCTTGGCATCCCTTGAGAAAGTGGGAAGCAGACAAAATGCCCAAGGTAGTAGGGCCGAACTCTAAAATCCTCAGGTTTTGAGGATTCAGATAATTGCAATAAGTGACTTTCTTTGGGAATTAATAGAAACCATCTGTAATGATAAAGCTGAGCTCTGCAATTATTTGAGAAAAAAATGTGCTGTAGTCAGCAAAAGCCTTATTGAGGAAGCCTGCTAGACATACGTATTTTTTATAATTAAAGCCAATCGCATTCATTAATTTATAAACGCTGTTTTGATCAGCTGCCTTTATTTCTTATTTATCAGCACCACCCTTGTTAATATGCACCTATGCAACCTTCAATTTTAAACTTAGAGGAGTTTAAATAACTATAATTGTACAGACAGCTGTGATCACCCCAGAGTGTCGAGGCAATCTTGAGACAAAATAAAGACAGGGAAAGAAACGTCTGCTGTGAATGACATATCTGCCTTCTGGGTCCAATACCTATGGCTCCTAGAGCTCTTTTCCTTCCCTAGCAAACAGGAAGTTGGCAGCGAATCTCCAAACGAGCTTCCTTTGAACTGGTCATCTCCATGCTCCGGGTGATGCTAACGAAGGTTCTGAGGGCAGATGGGGAGGGTTCCAGGAACACAGGCGGCTTTTGTTACACGGCAGCCTGCAGAACAGAGGGAGCCAAGATGTCCCCTCTGAGTGGCCGTAAATATTGACCCACCTGTGAAGGGTAAGGGTGCCATCACTGTATGATGGTAAATAAATAAAGAAAGGAGAAACATGTGCACAAGCCAACTGCTTGAGGCCCATCTCCGCTGTGTGTGGCCAGGGGCGGAGATGTTTATTTGGACATGGTTCCTTCTGAAAGGAAGCCAGTGGACTGCTTTTGGATGGGTCCAGTGCTAGAGCCCAGTTAATTTCATAAGCAGAGTCCATGTAGTTATTCGTCAACTACAAGGAGTTTGAATTTTTAAAACCAGCTGATTAACATTACTCCAGCCCATCACAAAAAACTAGAATCAACAAACAAAAAAACAAGACCACCACCAAAACTGCATTTTATTTTTACAATGATAAAATAGTCAGGCCAGGGATTTAGCTCAGTGGTTCTGCTGCCTGCCTCACAAGCACAAGGACCTGAGTTCGATTCCTAGTACCCCCCCAAAAAAATTTAAGTCTTTTTTTAGGGCATATTAATTACCCAGAATATGGGGGTTGTTGTATATTCCTGAAATCCCAGCACTTGGGGAGCTGAATGTAGCAGGATGGCGAATTTGAGCCCAGCCTGGGCTACACAGTGAGACCCTGGCTTAAACAAAAACCAAACACAAAAATATATCAATTATACAGAACAATCAGTTTCACCGTGGCATTCCCCTGTGTACATACGACATACTTTGATCACAACCATTCCCACGCCTCTCCTCTAGTCTTCCCTCCCCCTTGCCCTGGTCCCCTTCCTCTTCTAATAATCTTGTGTTTGTGATTTTTATTCTTAATACCACTGTGGCCAAACAGCATCATAGTCACAGTAGGGACAGGGAAGAAGTCCTCTGGCACAGCCGACACGGGTCCCGCAGCCTAGAAGAAGACATTTCTCCTCTCTTCCTCTGACAAGGTCTGGAGGACAGAGTGACCGGACGGCCTCAGGCAGCTGTGAACAGGACTAAAAAGCAGCACTGGGAAGGGGACTGTGTACAGCAACTCTATTTTAAATAGAGTTAAACACAACTGATTTCCCCTGAGAACAGGGAAGTGGCTCTTAGGATATGAATATGCACCTCCAGGTTCTGAAAACTTTTTTTTCAAATAAAGTGTGTGCTTGTTGCTAACAGGCAGATGGGCACCAGCTGAGGGATTTGGGTGTCTCTCAGCTCCAACATCCACCAGCAGGGTCACTCGGACCCATTACTTAGCCTGACCTGCAGCTTACGCACCTCTCAGACACAGCTAACAGCAGCAAATGCGGGTGTGATGGGATGAGAGCATCCACGGTGCACAAGGTAAGAAAAGTATGGGAGTTACCCTAATTATCTTTTTAAAAGGAGACTGGAACAGGACTCCGGAGGTGGCTTATAGTTTTTCCTCTTTGGTTAACAGTTCACAGGTTGTTAAAAGGAGAAACTTGAAAACTTATGGAAGGAGAAGAATCACTTGAGGCGAATCAAGTTGCTACTAGAAAAGGAGAAGTTTCAAGCTTAAAAAAGACTTTCAGCTCAATCCAAGCGAATAAAGGGAGAGAATTTGTTAAAGCCAACAGAGTCGAGCTCTGGACAAGGAGGCAAAACACCTTGGTGCAAGGTCGTAACACACAGTGCCTTCCCCTGAAACGGGGCCCAGGCTCCCTTCACCAACCTTTTCCCTAAGCGATACTGTGGCAACTTCGGCAGCACATGTACTAAAATCTGCAATTTCAAGTTTGAATAAAACAAAATGGACCTCAAAGTAGATAATGCAGTGCTCACGTAGGTGAGATAACCTGTTCAAAAGTGCAATCGCAGGTGGGAAGTCAAAAACAGTTTTCAAACTCTTTTAGAATATGTAAGTTCTATTAGAATATAAAGGAAAACAAAACAGACTGAGCTCAATGACACTGTTTCATTATTAAATGGCATTACTGTGCCCATGTATGTGAAAAACAATCTTAATGTGGGAGTATAAAATCAGCTTAGCAATGTTTCTTTTCATTGCTTTTCTTACTCTTCACCTTTAAAAGTTAACACCTTTCACAACATACCTGAGTGCTACATGCACATAATTAATTTTCTCACACAAGGTAACACAAAGCTCTGTAGTCTGATGTTCTGTCAAATTGCAAACAACACAAGAACTCAGGACTGGAAATGTTTTCATGAGGGCATTTCATGGCTTAACAAAAAATCTGAAGTGTAACAAATGGCTATTTGTAAGCTCTAATACATTCTACATATTTCAACAGTAAGAAATATGGGTAACATTAAGGGACATTTCTAAAAGCCATCTCTCCAGATCCCTTCTGGAATGGCCATTGTCTTTCTAGTACAGCATCTTCTGTATGTGCTATTGGTTGTTCAGCATTAGCAATAACCTCACTTCTAACCCCAGTCCCTGTATAAACCTTCGATTATGTGAATGGCCCATAGAGTAAAAAGAATTACACCTTTCACTATTTAATCACCAAATTTGATTTTCATTGCAAATAGCCTGGGGTTAAGTCTGTGATATTACTAATCTCTTAATTTCACTTTGGAGGTAAGCAAACATTTACTACCCCACTGGGGGGGGGGCTGAATACAATCCATATTCTTTTCTGTGATTCTGGCATAAAGCCCTATTGATTATGTTCAAGTGGCCACTTACAATGTCACCTTAAGCAACTGGTACTTGAATTCACCAAATGAGGTTTTCTAGCTTGGCAGAAGTAAAAAGCAACACGTCTCATCACAGCCCTTTTAAGCTCCAGCTTAAAACGTTTCAGTGGCTTCCCAGGGTTCAGGGGGAAGCCCTAAATTCTTGAGGCAAGAGGAAGATTTCAGCATGACAAGATCCAAATATGAGCAAGGGGGAGGGACCCGGCCCCACCCCGTAGACAGGCTCGTCTTTTCTCTTCCTAGTAACATCACCCCCAAAGGAACCACAGTGATACCTAAGAATTTCACAAACAGTGTGTCATTTAACCCTCACAACTCCGCTGTATGGGGTGCTATTATGACTATCACTCATAGAAGAGGCTTCACGACCTGTCTGGCATCACCGAGTTGGGAAGTGTCCAGTGTCACAGTCATGATTCAAACACAGGCCATTGTACTTGGTCTTGAACCTTATTTGAGAAGGATCCAATATAAAGCTGGGCCTCCAGACATTTTTTATATCAGTGACTGAACAAATGAGTTTTATAATCAGTCTAGAAGAAGTCTGTACAGACTGTTATGGTTTGGATCAAAACGTCTCCCAAAAGGCTCATGTGTTCAGAGGTGGGTCTTTTAGAAAGAGATTGGAAGTTCGATGGAACGAACCTCATCAATGCATCACTCTGCTGACGGGTTTATACTGAACAGGCTCTTCAATGGGGACCCAACTGGAGGAAGCTGCTCCCTGGGGTTGTACCTTGAAGGGTATATCCTGTCCCCAGCCCTGTCCTCTCTCCCTGGTTCTTTCTCTTTCCCAGCCGCCATGAAGTAAGCTTCTTTCTTCCACCATGCTCCTCTGCCATGATGTTTCTGCCTTGGAAGCAGCCCACCATGGACTGAAACCTTTAAAACTGAGCCAAAATAACCCTTTCCCCCTTTAAGTTGTGTATGGTATTTTATCATAGCAACAAAAAGATGATTAACACACAGTCCATTTCTACTTCTTAATTTTCCCCATGTGTATAACCGGGCTTTGAAGGAGTAAAATGGACAACAGAGGCATGTGGAATTAATAAACTATTCACAAATGTCTATCCTTATCCTTTGTTCAACAGATACTTCTAGGCACTCAGGGTACGTAAGTCGACCAGGTGAGGGTGGGGCACTGTCCTGCCCTCAGTGGCTTTAGGGTTAATGCAGGTCACAGAACAAGGAAGAGGCCGTTCAGTACTATCAGACTGCTGGGTGCTACTTGGTGACAGGAGGATGTGCAGTATGTTAAGCCTTGGGAGGATTCAAGCCAATGTTACACTGTTTGCATTAAGTGTTAACCTCTTATGGACTAGCTGGGAACAGTGGAGTAGGACACATATATAAACGGCCACATCTTTGGGACAGTGCCTTTCAAATTCTAAACAAATTGCAAACTCAAGCACATCGGTCCTCTCCCATGTGCTAGCACAACAGACAATCTCTAATTTACAGCCTGTCTCGCAGTACAAGTTTCCCTTAAAGCCAGGGGAAATCAATAATCAAAACAACAAACAGAACCCCAGGTTTTCTATTTCCAGTCACATACTGTTCTCCTTCCTTTCCGCAAATGCTCTATGTTTAAAGATGTCCACTTTAAAGTCATTGGCAGAGTGGTGCATGCCTGTGATTCCAGCACTCACGAGGCTGAGGCAAGATGATTACAAATTTGAGATGAGGTCAGCCTGAGCTACAAAGTAAGACTCTAGCTCAAAACAAAACAACAACAACAACAAAAAAATAGAAACAAAACAGAAAAACCCCAAAGTTTGGAGTCAGAAGAACTGTCTCTCCTTATTTTTTGCTATGCACAATTCAGGGAAACCTTAAGTTGTTACAAATTCCAAGGTTTCTGTGGTAGTCACCATTTTTATACAAAAGTCAAGTCAAAATTTTAGGTTTCATGACTGTTCCATGACACCATGCAAAGGTTTTCTTTACCTATATAAAAGATCCTTAAATACACACTAGGCTACTCATTATAACACAGTACAAGCCGTTTCAATCAAAAAGTGCACAGCTTTGACATTTTATAATAAGAAACTGTCACTTTTAGAATTTGATTAGACAATTCTAATAGCAGGCTGGAGTCATTCAACTTGGCTTTTCAATAGACACTTCTCAGGCTTAGTGATTGGCATGTTGGAGTAATGACAATCTCCAAACAGGCTTCCAAGATGGTGTCTCTAAAGACGGGATACACACCAACTACCAGTGTTTCTGTATTGCTTAACCATGCCAATACGTCTTCAAAATAAAAATATTCCAAATTGCATAAACAAAATGTAACAATTACCTCTCGGACTGTTACATTCTTTGGTGAGAAAGGTAAAGGATATTCTGTGAAACACTTACATCCCTTTAATTTGAAAGTAATACATAAGAAGCATTTCATAGTAATTCTCTTTATCCATCATTACTATTAAGGAAGAAAAGGGGGAGGGAACAACCAATAATTTGTTAATGGTGTAGCAGAGAAACCCAAGTTAATTAAGACAAACCCCAAAAAAGGCACAATGTTTCCAAAGATTTACTACCATTTTATTGAAGGGCACACTTTCTTTAAAATTCCAGATGTGAAATCGCCTTAGGAGAATTCCGTTGCTGTTGTGGAAAATGTGGGGGAGGTGGAAGGCTCCAACAGGACGCTGCTTGTCTGGGTCCCGGCCCTCTGCCTGGGCCAGTAATGCCAGCTGAGCAGCGGGCACTGACCAGGGCTTGGGGCTAAGGCTGCCCGCTGCCTTGGGTTATGCAGCTACAAAGCAACACTGTTTTAATGTCTTTCCTGCAGAAAGTAATAACGCGCTCTTTCTTGGCTTTCATGATCTTATTTTCTTCTAAAGAACTTCATTTTCCTCTAAAGGAGTTAGTGCTGAAATATATGGCAGGATTTTTGGTTTGTTGTTTTGTTTCTGGTTGTTTTTTGTGTGGTACTAGACGCGAACGTGCCAGTCAAGTGCTCTAACCCTGCGCTACATCCCCAGCCCTTGCAATATTTGCTTGAAAATAGCATGTCAGTCAGGGGTGCTATACTGAGCAACTAAGAAATTGTTGAAAGAACTGTTGTAGATTGAGTTAATTTTTCTTAGTCAAATAGCTAGGATATAGGCAGTAAATTAAAAAAAAAAAAAACCTGACATTTAACCAGATGTGCCAAATGGCATGATTGATAGTGTCATTTTTCATTTGCAAGAAGTCTTAGCTTCCAGGCTGCAGTGCAGAGCATAAATTTCTGTAGAAAATTAAGAAGTTGGGAGTACTAAAGGGTCTCAAAATGGAACATTTCTATTTCCAAAAAAGAAAATCAATGGACATTGAGATCAGGCCTCCATGAAATACTAGACATGCATCAAAATTCCCACAAAGAAATCGTTTTTCTTCTTTGTCACTGCCATCCTATCTCTTTTCAAATTGTTTCTTGGTGCCTTTTTGAAAATAACATTAACTGACATAATCCATTTGCTTTGTCGGGGATCTTGAATTCAGAAACCCTAGTGAGCTGTAAAGATGCTTAATGGTACCCCTTCCTTATTAACACCTCCCTCCAAAACCACTCGGGACTTCCCAGATGAGGGAAAGGTCCTCACTTCTCTCTTCAAGAAATACAGGTAACTCACCTTCTCTGTGGCACTGGTATCAATTCTACCTGACTCGATTGATATAACACATTTTTTATTTTTTTGAAATAAAGTTTCGCTACATAGCTCAGGCTGCCTCAAACTTGCAGTGATCCTTCTGCCTCAGCCTCCCAAGTGATGGGATTACAGATGTTTGCCAGCATGCTCGGTGACAAAACACGTCTTTATCAAGTGCCCACAGTAGGGGACCTTACAATTCAGGTGTGAAGACTGGAGCCGGTGCTGAAGAGCTTGATGCAATACACAAATCACAGGCAAACAAAAAGGTCTATCTCTGTTCCCTAAATATTATTTCACAAAGTGAATGTGCTAATAGGGGGGAAATTGCTCAACATGTGAGATACAGATATAGATAAATGTAATTACTATGCATTACAGACATATACTAATAAAATTTTTTAAAAAGTAATATGTTACCCAACAATTTTTAATATAAA